CCCTAGTTCGATTCCTCGTGGTAACAAATTTTTGCATTTCGAGTTGACGTGCCAAAATTCGCGCAAAATGGAGTTAGAACCAACCAGAACAATCAGAACTCCAATAATAATCAATAGGCGCATAATAAAGTAGATTGAACAAAATGTACCTTGTACAAAAAGTTCTTAAAGCGCTGCAAGTTGCTGTGAAATGCAATGTATCACAACTCTGAAATCATCGTGACACAATCACTTCGACGTAACTTCGCAGCTACTTCAATAGTGGTGTGCACAGCAAAATCAGCGCAGGAAAGAAGCCAAGAGTCGGGAATGGTGAAATTTGTGAGGCATCCGCAGTCTAGTCTACTACTCAGCGAGCGCTTTTATGTGACAGATCAATCCCGATAATATGGCTAAGTGACAGCGGACCGAAAAAGGTTTTTTTTTTTTATCTGGCCGAGGTTTGGACGGCGCCTGGGTGGGAACTACAGCTCATGCGCCCCAATGGCAATGTGACCGCGCCATACGACATACACCCGAGAGGAAGCATTCCCGTCGCCAGCACGCCAGCATTGTGACGATGTCCGCGGCAACTTTGACGCAATAGCAGTCCTTGCCGCCTTTTCAAATTTTTTTTACCGAAACGCAAATGCTTTTTTTATAGCTTTTCGTTCGATCTCCTGAACGCACGTGTCCTGAGGCCGGTGAGTTAACTGCGTAGAAGTGGAATCAGCGATTCTCCCGAGAAAAATTCTTTGATATTATGTTGTGTAACACTCCAATAAAAAGGGCATCCTGCACGAAGCTCACATGGCCCAGTACTCGCCGCCCTCCCCTAACCCCCCCCCCAAATTGTAAGTTTTGTCCCTGTGGACGTGGGAAGTGGCTAGCCCATTAAAAAAACTAACTAAGTTCGAGTGGAGAGGGCTAGTCTGGCAGCTTCGATGCAAGGCTACTTGTTATCCCGGCTATATTGACTTACATGCCATTCTTGTGGTTTTAGGTCAAGTTGTGGCATCCGTGCCGTTTAAAGGCAAAGTTCGGGCTCAGACCCACCTAAGAAGCCCTGATCATGGCCAGAAATGCTGGATGCGCGAGTGCAAAGGTAGCGCCACCTTTCTACATCGAAACGCGTCACTAGGACCCTAGGCGCCATGGACTTCTAACAGACTCCACCAAACTTAACATGGTCCGCCCACCGTTCGATATCTTGTCTGCGTCGCCACGTTGATCTGCTATGCTCTCTCTTCTCGGACTTCTCTACCGCTCTCCGCGCTCACATTATCTCTCATCTCCCTGCCTGTCTTTTGAACTTCTCCACAGCATGGAGCAAAATGCTCGTATTTCCTGTGTATTTCAGGATTTTCTTTCCTTTTTTCTCCACTGGCGGTCCACCTCTTTTCACTTTGAGTGGAATCACTCCATCAATTCAATCCCGATTCTTGCCTTAAGCTTATCTCTTAGCATCCTGGCTAATTTTTTAGATACCGTTTATCAGCTTCAGCCATTGGACGGATGCATTGAGCTTTACCAACAGTTTTTCTTCAAACTCAAGAAAAAAGGAGCCCTGAAGCGCCACCTTATTGCTACCCATATAGAATCGATTCAATATATACTTCATGAAACGAAAATTCTTCCCTTCGAATGGAACAGATGAGGGTTGATTCTACAAATGGAAATTGATTATGCCAAACAGTACACATTCCTGAAAGCCACATTCAATTTTGACATGGACGTCTCTAAAAATGCACTTGGTGTAAACAACGCATTAGTTTAGAACTCGGGAACATGGAGGTATTTCCGAAAGTCGTCAATCCGAAACACGCTGAGAAGAAACATGAAACAGACATGTTTGTGAACTTTTCATCATTGCTTCGACGACAGCTTTGTGTAGCGAGGCTTAAAAGATCTTTTCAGAGTGGCGGTGATGTGCATTGTTTTTTTTGGTGTTGTTCTAGCTATTCTCTTGATGTGTTGGAATTGTCAGCAACGAAAGGAAGACAGGAGACGATTTCCAGAAGTTTAGCAACCTTACCATACTATGTATAAGCTTTGAAGAGGCTCTCCAATAAAAAGCGTGCGAATATTGACCTCTTTTTTGTTTTCTGTTTCCAATTTCCCGATAAATGTATTTCGAATACAGCTTTCAATTTGAATTTTTTCAACTCTTCCAGATCGAGGAAAAATCAGGGATCCCAGTCGCAACTGTGATCACCCAGCTAAATTCCAAGGTCTTTCAGGGCAGTTCAATTCTTCTGTGCCAAGCGAGGTTGATAGTTGGAACCTTTTATTGAATGGCCCGACGTTTCGACCTTTTCGTCTTCTTCAGAGGCCTGAAGATAGCTCGAAGCTTTTTGATTTTGTAACCCGACCAAGCATCTCCCTCCTAGCGTTTCCGACGTCTTGTTGAAGAGCTTCTCGGAATCACTCTGTACCATAATGAACTCACAAAAGGCTCGGAACAGCACTGCGGGGCATTTGGTTCACGCCCTTCTAGGTATGTTAGTAAATGGGCATATGAACTTCAACTAGATAGGGGGGGGAGATGCTCTGAGGTGGCTCACAAAATCGAAAAGCTTCGAGCTATCTTCGGACTTCTGAAGAAGAGGAAAAGGTTGAAACGTCAGGTCATTCAATTGAGGGTTCCAAATATCAGCCTCGCTTGGCACAAAAGAATTAGACACTTCGACCAATAATGCCTAGGTTCCAACAAGGGATAACCTGGAGACCCTCTAGGGGCAATTTTTGAAGAGTTTTGGTTTTGTACCGACTTATGAATAGCTGTCATGCGTAGCGTCATGGTCTAGACCTTAGAGTTTCTATGTGCTTTAGTTTTTCAGCTTTTTTGAGCATTGTGCCCAGAGATATAGGCTACGTCTACAGCTCGAGAAGAGACAATGTTCAGTAGGAGCAGATTTCGATGTTATGGTGGACGGAAATAATGCAAATGTTCCACTCCATGGAAACTAGTACAGATGTATCGTATCTGTGTATGTATCAAAAAACTACCGTCGAGCGGGGGATATATACTTACCATAAAACCGCAAAAATAATGGGGTATATACACGGGAGTATATACGCGCACTGAAACGGCAAATTTTCTCCCGCGCCGCTCCCCACTCATCACATGCAACTTCTTACAACCGAAGCAAGTACGACCCCCCTCTACAAACTCACAAAATACGACCCCCCGTTGCTACTTGTAGCAAATAGGGTTGACCCTGCCGAGGGATGTTGGCAAATGGCATGCTACGAGGCGCGGGATCTGCCTGGATCGTGAGTTTCGTGCGAAGCAACAAGCCTTCCATCATCCGGTTTGGTCGGTCAATAGGGACCAGATTATCTGGAGGATAAAAACATGACATGCCATTGGCGGGCCCCATTCATTTATAGGCCTCGATTCAACCCATACGATGTACAAGTGGAAGTAGAATGGTGCACCGCATCTCAAAAGGTATTGTCAACGACATGCTTTTCTTTCTTTTATTATGGATATTCGCTCCTTGTCACCACTTGTCTCTCATTCTCTATGCTTCAGGCCTTCCACACTTGTGAACTCAATATCTGGAATATCTGGAGAATGTGCAATCAAAAAACAGATGCCTCAGATCATGTAGGGCCTTGTTGCAATCGCGAATCCCCCTTAACCGGGAGGGGCTCACCTGGTTCGAACTTTTGGCTGTTGTTTCGCCCTAAAATTCTTTCTCGCCTCTCCATCCATTACCCTCGTGTTACGACTACAAAACAAGTGAGGAATTGTCGAAGCCATGCTCACTGTCTGCATATAGCAGATGAAATGATTAGGCAACCATAGCATGCCAGACCGAATCTATGTCACCGCGGCTTCACCACATTGGCGGTTCTCTCCCTACATCTCCCCTCCCGCCCCGTACCTTATACCCTCCTCTCCATCTTTCTTGTAGCAGCAGCATGAGAAATGGTCGAGAGTGCGCTCAGTATCAGTCCGTAGAGTAATTGAAGTGAATGCTCTCAAATTTGTGCCATCACGAAACGTATAGCACATGCGAGCTATCCGGATTTGTTTGCTGTTTATTTCATTAAAGTCCATATCTCGACGTCCGATGTGGGAGGGTCTAGGGATTGGTTCAATGTGACTCGGGGAGGGGCAGTTCACATCACACAATGGAACTGGAAAACTTCTCACGCATGTCAAGTGACTGCCCTCACCACCCATCCCCTAGACTGGCTACACTCCCCCTGGCTCAGATTTCTCCTCTCCCCACTGAGGTAAGTGAACATGCCACGCGCCGCAGCCGGGACTGCCCCCCCCGCGCCGTCATTGGGCCCGAGATGTCGGTCGGACTCGGTGATTGCAACGCGATGGACCAGCGACCGAGCAACGCTATCGCTCCATTGCTTGTCCATCGCGTTGCAGTCGTCTGCAAGGCGATTGGACTTGGAGCAGGGTACCCTTTCGGTTTGTTACTATTCGAAAAATTTTTACGACCCCCCTCCCCCAAGGTGGATTTGGTACGACCCCCCTTCCGACACCTCGATCACCATATTCCTCTCTATAACACTAACTTCCACTACCACTCAACCCTCAAAACTCCGCCCACTTTTTCCTCCAAAAATGCCGTCGAGCGGGGGGGGGGGGGGGGGGTATATAGTCCCTCTGAAACAGTAAAAATTTTCCCATAATTTCCCACAACCCCTAAATTTTCACAATTTGTTCCCTATATTCTCACTGTTTCCTTAATTCACTGGTTCTTTTTCTAGGGGGTATATAGCGGCTGACGGAATTTGTTATCTTTGCGTCGCCCTCTCGCAAACCCTAAACTACCCACGATTCCGGTTTTCTCACTCCCACACGTGATTTCGAGGCGACTATACGACTGCCCCCCTCGCGCCATATTGGGCCCTTGTCCATCGCGTTGCAGTCGCTCTGCCGAGAGCGATTGGCACTTGGAGCCAACCATTTCAGACCTCATGCGACACTTATCAAGGACAAGCAGAACATCAACGAAATGGAAAACCCACCTGCTTGTGAGGCTTAAGGAATGACAGTAATGAGGTTTGCAGCTGAGATACCTGGGAAAATGATAGCGGAACTTACTGTCGATAACGATGTTAGAGATTTTGTCATAGTTAGACAACTCCTTATGGAGCGTTCAGAGTTGGCGATCGCACGCGCGATTAGGCGATTAGGCGATTAGTCTATAATGAAAAATATACGTATAGATTAGGCGATTAGGCGAGTAGGCGATTAGGCGGGAAGACCACATATTGATTGGTTTGCTCCGCCCATAGAGCGTTGTAGGCGAGTAGGCGATTAGGCGATCGCTCAATGGGCGGAGCAACAAATCAATACACATCCTTCTCTTATCGCCTACTCGCCTAATCGCCTAATCGATACCATACTTTTCTTTTGAGTCATCGCCTAATCGCACGTACGATAGATAACTATGAACGCTCAAATATACCTTTCACTTGATGGCCTCATGCTTGATTTCACTGGTTTCGTTCGGGTTCTAGCTATTGAGACATCTGCCTTGTTCTACCGAATACTTCTCAAAAGTCCTTCAAGATGTTATTAACTGACAGGTCGCAGTGAGGATTACTGCGACAGTGATACTTATAAAGTAAGTAAGGATTATTAACACCAGATTAGTCCCCCGTCAACCGCCGGGACCTTCCTTTCCTGCGCAAGCTTTCTATCCTCCGCTATGGTCCCTTCCTCCTGTGACACCAACACCTCCTGGAAGTGACGCGTATGCAACACAATGGTGTTTCATACAGTAGAAGGGACACAATCATGATATGACGGTAGATTTTTCGCTCCCTTCCTCATCCTCCCTTCCTCTCTCCACTGCCCTCCAGCTGCCACTGCAGCACCATGTGGAATGAACGGAAGTGTGCTAAGCAGGTGTTTATATAGCCCTAAGAGTGTTATCACAACTATCCTGCTACAAAACATTGATATCTCAAATCCTGTAAGCTACCCGATTTGTTAGCGGTTTGTTTATCCCATGAGCTTCCTTCTCACTCACTTCATTTTGCGGACGGACACACATACATACAGTCGAGATCCGAAAGTTGGGGTAGGCGTGTCACCGGAAGTGACGTGGACTTGATAGAAGTTGCGTAGATAAGTCTGTTGCCAGCATGCTTTGCTGATATCTCGCGATGTATATTGGAAGCACCTTATCCACATAGATTCTATCAAGTACACGTCACTTCCGGTGACACGCCTACCCACAATCGATTATCTACATACATACATACATACATACATACATACATACATACATACATACATACATACATACATACATACATACATACACACATACAGACATACAAACCGACACACAAAGTTAGCGCTTTATAAAATAGAAGGATTGTATAAACTTACTTACTTAGACTTAGTTCCTCCCGTGCTGTTGAGCACATCGGGCGACGAATTCTTTCCATTGCTGACGATTTTGCGCAAGTATTTCACCCTCGTCCCTAGAAACATCCATGGTCTTTAGATCATTATCGAATGTTCGTCTCCACGTGTTTCTGGGACGGCCTCTTGCTCTTCTGGCTCCTGGGGGAATCCAGTACATGGCCCTTCGTGGAATACGATGTTGAGGCATACGTAGAATATGTCCAGCCAGTCGGAGTCTGCGCCGTGCCACAACCACGTGGAGGCTGCTCATACCTGTGCGGCTCAGGACTTCCTGATTAGTGATGTGGGCTGTATACCGTATTTTCATGATTCGGCGAAAGGCAACGCTGATGAAAGGCATTTATTTTCTTAACGAGTCCAGCAGTTATTTTCCATGTCTCACTTGCATACAACGCGGTGGAAATCACGATTGATTGGTATAGGCGTATCTTGATGTTGTGTGAAATGGAAGTCATTGCCCATACTGGCTGAAGTCGTTGAAATACAGTTGCTGCTTTTGCTATTCGTATCCGTGCATCTGTTTCTGCATCTCCATCACAAGCAACTACACTTCCAAGATAAGTGAATTTTCCCACAGTCTCCAATTGTTTTGCATCAACATTGATGACCGTTTGCACATCATTGGGGCCAATGTTTCATTGGTACTTTCGAATTTGTCTGGGCTGATAGTGGCAAGCCGATCATTGTTGCTTCACTGTTCAGGCTCGTAGTTGCTTCTTGAAGCTCACGTTCTTCTTGCGCAAGAAGCGCAATGTCGTCCGCAAAATCCAAGTCTGACAAGCGTTCCCCGTTAGACCAGCTCAATCCTGTTTCTGTTCGTTCGTCTCATCGCTTTTCGCATGATAAAGTCCAGACATCTATTGAACAACAATGGAGACAAAATACATCCCTGTCGTACTTCTTATTGTCTGTGTTGTGGTTTTTAAAGAAGTTTTGTTGTGCCATTTTCTTGTTCTTTTTTACGGTTTCTTATACTATCTTTGTATGTGTTCAGGTGATAATTTTGAATGATGTCTTGATTTATATTCTTTTTTCGCGGATTGTGTATCTTTTTTTTTTTTTTTTTTATTATTTTGTGAGAATATGTATCTGTTCGTTCAAAATGTTCGTCTCTGTCTTGTCTATCCTGTATATATTGAATATCTTCCAATATCTTTTTATTTATCTCAGATCTCTTCGGGGTGATTCAATTGTTGGTTTTCTTGGTATTGTCTGTTAGTATAATATCATTTTCAACTTCTCGTATCTTTCTTATAGGCTCTGTTTGGGTGTCTTACTATTCTTGTATGATGTAATGAGGTATGTCTGTCACAATGAGCCTTATATATTCCTTTTTCATTTTATTGGTTTCCATCCGTTAAGAGCGTTGGTTGCCTTTTTGTTCAGGACAAAACCGACTCCTCCTTCGTGTTTGTCTTCGTGGCCGGAATACAGGATCGTTCTGTTGTCACTGTTTATTCTGCCATTACCCTTCCAGCGAACTTCACTTATTCCCAATATATCGAGTCGATAGTTGTCAAATTCACGAAGTAGTTGCGCGAGGTTGCCAGTTCTGTTCAGTGTACGAACGTTCCATGTGCCAATGTAAGTTTTGTTTTTGGGTGAGAAGACCGAATTCAGAATCGGGGCATCCGTCACAAGGCTGAAACCCGATCTCCTCAATTCAGCAATATTATATGTATTCGTCGTTTCTGTAGCATCAAGAATTTTTTACAGCGGAAGGGTTGCTAGCCCTTCGCGCCAACCCTCCTCCTTTCTCATCCGGGCTTGGGACCGGCAATGGCGGAGTTATAGTATATTATTACCACTACCCTTCATGAATTCTTGGAAATCTCGGACACATTAACGATGCTACCCCTTAGTGACATTATTAGCCTCTCAGCAGCAAGCTTAAGCAAGGGATTTCAGTTGTTCTACCTTCTTCTCTATTTACATGATTCTCTGAAATTTGTGAAGTGTCTCTGTGTATGTCCATCTGTCACGAAAGTGGCAGCGCGTTGCTGCAGCCAAGGAGCTTTCTATCCTGTGAGAAAAGGAGCATGACGGAAGCACAGATGGTAGATGAGAGAGATATAGGTAGAGATTAACCAAGTGATCGATACAATACTGCTCCTAACTTTTGTAACATCTACGCGTTGCGACGGTTCTGTAGCGTCGCGACGGTTCTGTTGCGTCGCGACGGTTCTGTAGCGTCGCAAACCGTCGCACCATTATAACTTCCTTGAAAGCGGGAAAAATGGAAAGATCTCAACAGGCAGTAGACGTGCCACAGAGTAGTGTTATACATGGAGACTCGCCTCTTCCTGTGGCGAAGTCTAACCATGTATATACCTACTAATATGCTTGAAATGACAATAAGTTATTCCATGAAAACTATTGTCAATCCCTCGTCTGACTGTCTCGCCTCTCCTCATTCCCATTATCTCTCCAGTCTGGCTCTTATCGTTAGCTACCGCCTTCATGATTTCACAAAGCCTTCCTTCGAGCTCTTCTCCACTTTCTCGGCCCCATTTTAAACCCACCCGCATCGGCCCTTGTGGTAAGTGCTACCGCGAACTAAAGAGGGACTCCACCTCGGTAAGGTGCAGGGTCAACCCTGCGTTGCGCAAATTCTAAAATTTTTACGACCCCCTTCCTTTTCGGGGGTGTCGGTACGACCCCCCCCCATATTAACTATCATGTCTTTCACAATAACTTCTGTAACAGGGGATTGATCTCATTATACGAATTTAATGCTCATCAATGCTCATCAATGATGGCAGTCACCAACATGGAGAAGTGGTGGACCGTGGTCAATCCGCGCGCTTTGTCTCGCTCAGAGGAGGAAATCGAGGCAAATGAAGTTTTATTCATTAAATAGAAGGAATTTCCAAATTTTTGCGTAAACCAATACATCATTTTATTCGTAAAGATTTCTACTTTCAGAAACCCACCAGGATTTTTTCGATCTCTCAACTTTCCTTACCTTATAATCTGAAAAACTAAACCTTGTAATTATTATTGCAATTACAATCCAAATAAGTAATATTTTAAATAATATAAATAAATAATAAATAATTTAAATAATATTTTAGATTATATCAATATAAATAAAATAATGAACTCCGAAACCATAACGCGATTAATTCAAAGCAACTCTTCAGTTAAATATATACCTTTTAGAATTGTATATAAATATGACAACCCAGTGTCACAATCACTTTTCAATTACAATGAAACACTCAAACACATTACAAATAACGAAGTGGTCAGAATTCTGGACTCTCAATGCATTTGCGAATCCAAGCAATACGAGAAATATATAGATAAATCTCATAAACATATAATAACAGGAAATACTGAAATTATTAACAACAAATATATCAGAAACCTGCTAGACAAAGGATGTAAATACAGAACTCCCACGAACGTATCAAAAAGATCCATAAGAAGTTGGATAGAGGAAACAACTAACACTTATGTAGACATAGTAAAAAACAGATATAAACTAAGTGAATCCATATTAAGGGAAATACATGACAATATCAAATCGAGAATACAAAAGACGTTGAAACCTAAGCTCTATTCACAATGGCTTAACAACACCAACATGTGTGACAAACACATCACAAAAGAGATTAAAAAGCTTCACGAATCTTTTATAATTTGCCCTCTAGACAAAGCAAGCGGTAATTA